TATTGGTCTGCTTATTGGCATCCCATATGTCCCTTAAACTGTCATCACTCTTTGTTCTTTTTTCCCTTTTCTTCAGATAGTTTCAAATGCTCTGTCCTTGGGTTTGCTAATTTTTCTGCTTGATCTAGTCTGCTGTTGAACAATTCTATTGACATTTTTAGTTCAGTTATTTGTTATATTCTTCAGCTCCAAGACTATTGTTTGGTTCTTTTAAAAATTTTTCTATCTCTGCTGAAATTCTCATTTTGTTCATGTAATGTTCTCCTGAGCTCATTGGGCATCTTTATGATGATTAGTTTGTATTCTCTGTCAGGTAATTCAAATACTACCATTTCATATGGGTCCATTTTGGAGCTCTGTCTTATTTGTTGGACTATGTTTCTCTGTTACTTCTTCTTTACTCTTTATGTTAGTATCTGTGCAATAGAAAAAAAATAACTATCCCTCTTATTCTTCAAAATTGGCCTCATACAGAAGACCCTCAGCAAAGCCTGGTCAGAGATTCTGGAGGGCTTCTCAAACCTTCATACTAGTTTCAGCTGCCTTTTGTTTTTAAGCATCTCTCAGGCATCTAGAATATGATGGGTCTTGTCAGTAATTTGAGACAGGTTAGATAGAAGCCCAGCTCCTTGGAGAGCCACCAGAAGAGTTAGAAGGTTGTATGCATGGTCCAATTGTCTCCCACCCAAGTGAGAAGCTGGGATATGGGTTTTATTTTCCTGCTTGCTTTGCATTGAGCCTGTTGTAAAAACTATGGCAAGTGTTTTCATGCTGGTCCAAGATACCATTTTCGTTCTCAAACCATGCCCTCCTAATATCATCACTCTACTCCTCTGTCTTGACTTCTCATCACTGAAACCTATAGTGGCAAATGAATAGTAAAAAAAGATGGAAAAAGAAGCTGGAAAAATAACTTAGTAGATGTATGCAAGAAATTTTACTATCAAATGGAAACAAAATAGTTTAATAATACACTAAAACAAGAGGATTCTCTCTCTTTTTTTTTTTTTTTTGCCACAACAGAAGCAAGGAACAGTGGACACCTTTCCAAATTTATTTTTTTACTGCAATTTTTAGCCAAATTATTCACTACTGATTTTCAATCCAAAGTTTGGAATTTAAAGAGGTTTGTGTGACTTCTATACAACTTTCTCTTTTCCATTAAGCTCTCATAGTCTCTTGAAATCCCATTATCTACTTAGCTAATGTCAACAACTGCCCCAAACTGATCATTAGGTTTGCTGTTTTAGTCTTATTAAGCCTTTAAGTATATAGGGCTCATCTTAATTTTTAAAATGTGTTGGCTCACTAGAAAAGCTACAACCCAAAATGAAATCAACTACTAAGATAATGACCACACTGGATAAATATATTGACATTCTGAGTAAATTTTAATCTGCTACAAACAGTAGATCTTTCTAATTCTCTAAACAATTCTCAAATTTAAAAAACCGGATCAGTAGGGTGATTAGAAACTTCTTGCTATTACCTGATGCATCCATGATAGAGACAGAAGTAAACAAAAGTACCTTGATTTAGCTTGTTTCACTTTGCACATCTTCATCCATGTGGTTATCATAGTTCTGGCTCTGATTAAGTTTGGTATAATTTTGGTAAGTACGCATAGATTATATTTAAATTATGAAGTATATTTTAATAATCCATATTGCCAATGACTAAGTGAAGTTTGAAAATAGGATCACATTCAATATCAAATTGAATAATGATATAAACATAATTAGAAATAATTGAGTGAGGAGTGATATATGAGCAAAACCTTAGCCATGAAGGTTAATATAGTTTCTCATGTTTAAATGCCTCAAGGAAATAAAACTAACAAGAAGTGAAAATGAAATTTTAAATCTGAACAATTAATATTTGTTGAATTGTTGTAAGGAATGGAATACTATAATAAAAAAAGATGTGTACCATTCTGCTCATGTCATATGCACATTTGTATAATCATGCATACTTCCTGCAGAAACATCTCAATGGTTCTATTGAGATTGTGAGTGAAAGCATTAAGTAAATATTTTGAGACTTTTAAAAGTATTTTCTATAAGGTTTGATAATGCTAATTGCATATTTATACATTATTGCATCAATTGAATTTAGAAATATACTTTACCTTTTTATAATTTTCCTTTTAATGATGTGACATATATATATATATATATATACACACATATCTTGATAAAGTCACTTGAAATATGAGTGAATCTTTTAGCTTTAAGTATTAAACTGCACAAATGTTGGGATACTGTCTTCCAAATACGTGTAGTAGGTTAGTCTATGAGGAATCTAAAATGTGCAATCAAGCCACTACATCTGTGAGGGTTAACCCAATACAACTTTTTAGAAATCATCAGCTTTCTCCAGCTCATTTAGAGAAACAAAAATTAAAAAAATAAAAACAACATTAATATGTCAAAGACTAAAAAAATTTCTATAAAGTCCAAACTTTTTGGTGAAATTTTCCTAAAAAGGTCAAGTGGATATTGACTTTGCTTTGAATACTCATCATGACCCCAAGGATGTTTAGATGGAAATGCAGTGGGTGGACTTTTGTGTCAGCTTAAGAATCAGGCACAAAGTGTTCCCATCCCTTGCTCAGGCAATTTGAGCATACTTCTGGCGTATTTCTGAACTTGTTTTTGTTAATACAAAGATTATAACTCCAACTCAATTTACTGTAGAGCATTTTTGAATCACCAAATAGTTTATTGAGCTGATTCTACCAAGTTCTATGTAAAGCTGACATTATCATGTAATCAGTTTATAGCCCTCCAACAGTCATAGGCTGAAATGTGCCCCCCTCCTACCCCAAATTTATATATTGAAGCCCTAAACCCCAGTGCTTCAAAATGTGACAATATTTGGAGATAGGTCTTTAAAGACATAATTAAGTTAATATGAAGTCATTAGGATGGTCCCTAATCCAGTATAACTGGCATTTTTATAAAAAGAAGAGATTTGGCATACACATAGACATACATAGAGGGAAGGCCATATAAAGGCATGGCCACAGCTGTCTGCAAGCCCAGGAGAGAAATCTCAGAAGAAACCAACACTGCTAACACACTGATCTTGGACTTCTGGCCTCCAGGACTGTGAGAAAATATATTTTGGTTCTTCATTTAAGCCATTGAATCTGTGTTACTGTGTTATAGCAGCCCCAGCAAACTAATGCACCAACTCAGAAATATTTTGAGAAGGTCTCCTCTGATGCAAAAACACATGAGAATTTTATCCTTCATTTTATCATAAATCTGTAGATGATCACTCCAACATAAGACATCTTAGGCTTTCTTAGAAAGAAATTTATATACAGTTGACCCTTCAACAATACAGGTTTGAACTTGTATGGGTCCAAATCCACTTATATGTGAATTTTCTTCTCTCCCTACCACTCCTAGAACAGCAAGACCAACCCTTCCTTCTCCCTATTCCCCTCCTCAGCCTACTCAACATGAAAATAATGAGGATGAAGACCTTTATAATGATCCACTTCCACTTAAATATATTTATCTCTCTATGATTTTAAAAACATTTTCTTGTTTCTATCTTTATTATAAGAATACAGTATATAATACACATGACATGCAAAATGTGTGTTAATCAACTGTTTATGTTAATTGGCAAGGCTTCCAGTCAACAGCAGACTATTAATAGTTAAAGTTTGGGAGAGCAAAAGTTATATGCAAATTTTTTCAACTGTGCAGGAAACCAGCACCCCTAATCCCTGTATCATTCAAGACTCATGTGTGCGTGTGTGTGTGCATGTGCATGCACGTGTGTATACATAGTTCCTGACTTATGATGGACTGACCATTTTTTAATTTTATGATGGTGCAAAAGTGATATGTGTTTCGTAGGAAATAATACTTCAAATTTTGAATTTTGAACGTTTCCCAGGCTAGCAATGTGTGTTATCTTGTGAAGCTGGGCAGCAGTGAGCCAAATGATCAGCAGTGTACTCCACAGTGTATTATATTTAATGAATTATATGAGCTATTCAATACTTTATTACAAAATAACCTTTGTGTTTGATGATTTTGGCGAACTGTAGGCTAATGTAAGTGTTCTGAGCAGATTTAAGGTAGGTTATGTTAAGTCATAATGTTTGGTAGGTTAGGTATACTGAATGCATTTTCTACTAACAATATTTTCAACTTCCATTGGGTTTATCAAGATGTAACCCCATTGTAAGCTGAGAAGCATCTCTCTCTATATATATTTAAGGTAGGTTAGGTTAAGCCATAATGTTTGGTAGGTTAGGTATACTGAACGCATTTTCTACCTAACAACATTTTCAACGTACATTAGGTTTATCACGATATAACCCCATTGTAAGCTGAGAAGCATCTCTCTCTATATATGTAAAGATAACAAAACACCCTAATGAGAAATAAGACAGTGGCATGAACTATAGCAAAGAATGGTCTTTTTTGAAGATTTCAGAATTTAGCAATGAATCATAGCGTATGGAGGAGATAATAATGATGATATTACTTATCATATAGAAACCATAATCAATTCTCCCTAGAAAGAGCACTACAATATTATCCCCATTTTTAAATGTGACATAGGCTGCCCAGGTATATGTTATTTAGGGATACTGATATTAAAAACAATATTTTAGATACTGATACAAATATATAGATATTAGTATCTATACAAATATTTTAGATACTAATAGATACTGATACTAATAACAATATTTTGCAATAACAAAATAACAAGCATTTACTGAGTGCTCACTATGTGCCAAGTTCTATAATGAAGTCTCACATGGTTTATCACCTTCTCTGCTCACAACAGCCCTATGAATGAGGTAATATGAGAAATCAAGTTCAGAGATGCTACTGATCACCAATAGATTCAGAGAACTGCTATATACTAGATGAATTGGAGCTGTTGGGCTGTTATAAAATCAAGTTTTTGGAGAGGCAACTTGAATCCTTAGCCATCACAATGTCTATGGATAGTGAAATCCTTACCTGACGGCATTTCTAGATTGAAGGCATTCATAAGTTTTGACAATAGTTCTTGCAGTTCCTCTTCCTCCAGCTCATCCTTTCTCTCCTTGATGTTACCTGCTTCTTTCCTTTCCACAGCTGCCACAGCAGGACTTCTCATTTCATCAGGAGCCTTTTTGGGGGTATCTGGCTTCAGTCCCTCCTGACAACTGGGTAGGGCGCTAATGACTTTTTTCAGCATCATTTGTGTGTGACTTTGTGCTCTGGTGCTGTGCAATGTGGTCTCTGGTGATTTTGGATTTTGCAGAGCATGCTCTGCATTTGTGTGACTTCTGTGACTTCTGTCAACCTCCTCAGGATTAGGAAGAGGTTCCCATCTTGAACCATCTTCGGTGGCATTCTTGATCTGCAAATAATCCCCTCTCTTTGGAACTCTTTCAGTTGGAGAATGGTCAACCTTGGTCTCCACACCGTGAAAGGAAGAAGATGAAGGATGGGGTGGCTGCAACCTTGCCTGGGATTACAGGTAAAGAAAACTTTATGAAGAAATTAACATTTATCTTACCTTTTCGTAAATGCATTATATTTCAACATTCCAATAGAGCATTCTAATACAAGACTTTTCTTTCTCCTCTGAAAATATATTATCATTACTATTAATTTTAATTTATGCTGCTAATTCTATGTCAACCTAAAACTCTCTACAAGAGTTGGAACAGCTCAAGTTCTAAAATAACAGAGGGAATAATTACAAGAAATTTAAGAAAATTCTAGGTTCTAAAAAGCCCAGGTTCTAAAAATATCTTAAGGAATTTCTGAAAACATAAGCATATATTGAATTGACAAATTAAAATCATTACAATAAAGCAGGTTTATAATAATCTTTCTGGTAGGTATGTTGTGAGGGGCTTCACAGTAAGCCACAGGTATAAAATCTAGAGATGTGCACCTTGTGAAGCACTGTTCTCAATGTGTGGCCCGCAGACCCTAGAAGATCCCCAAGACTCTTCTAGGGGTTTGCGAAGTCAAAATTATGTTCATAAGGACACTCAGATATGATTTGTTTATTGTATTGACATGTGCACTGATGATGCAAGATCAGTAAGTAAAGCTGCTGGTTCTTTAGCATGAATCAAGACAGCGACATCAAACAGCCCTAATTATCAGGGTATTCTTCACCCTCATTCACTAGCAGTGAAAAAAAAAAAAAGCCAGTTCTGCTTAACAACACCTTTGATGGAATAGACAAATTTCTTAGTTTAAAAAATATTAACAAGTCTTTTAAATATTTTGTGTGATAACGTGTGAAGTGTGCATAAGACACTTCTAATGTGTACTGAAATAAAAGAGTTGCCTATGTGTCAAAAAAAGACTGACAGATTATGGTTATTCAGACTTGGGTATTTGTCAGTTCCTCAGAAATGAACAAAGCAAGAATGTCACTGCAAGGAAAACAATTAGCAGTATTTGCTGTCAGTTATAACAGTTAAGGCTGGGTGCAGTGGCTAATGTCTGTAATCCCAGCACTTTGGGAGGTTGAGATGGGAGGATTGCTTGTGGCCAGGAGTTCAAGACCAGTCTGGACAACATAGTGAGACCCTCCTTGCTACAAAAAATTTAAAAATTAGCTCAGTGTGCTGACATGAGCCTGAGATCTTAGCTAGCCATGAGGTTGAGGTGGGAGGATTGCTTGAGCTCCAGGAGTTCAGGGCTGCAGTGAGCTGTGATCTTGCCGCTGCACTCCAGCCTGGGTGACAGAGCAAGCCCCTGTCTAAAATATATATTGACATGCATAAAAAAGCAGGCTTTCAAGCAAAAATTAGAATTTTGGAAAACTTGCATCTACCACCATGAGCTTGATAGCTTTCCACTTCTTAAACAATTTTTAATGAGATTAGTAGTGACATTAATGAATGTGAATTTTTTGATCCTGTTTAATAAAATGAATGAGCATTAGGACATTCAGCATAGCTCGATGAACCAATATTTTCCAAATGATCAATGTATAATGTTACACATTCATGCACGGCTAGGTGACCCATTCAAAGACCATATAAGAACGCTGAATATTAATGAAACAGTGTGACATAAATATGGTTTCAGGTTCCATATGGAAACTATCCTTTAAGAAGCTGTCCTCTATCATGTTTTGGGCTAGTATAAAAGAGAAGTATTTCTCAGTATCTGAAAGGCTATTAATATACTCATCTCTCTTTCAATTGCAAATCTGTGTGAGGCCTGATTTCTTCAGATACTTCAACCAAAACACATTGCAGCAGATTGATTGCTGAAGTGGTTACAAAAATTTAGCTGTCTTTTATTAAGCCAGATATTTAAAGAGATTTGTGAAAAATGTAAAGCAATGCCACTCCCCTAAGGTTTTTAGAAAAACGTGTTGTTTAAAAATGTTATCTGTATATTTAATGGGCTTATTAATTTTATGTTTTAGATAGTGAATACATTTTAACTTCTCAGTTTTAATTTGCATTAATTTTGTTACTTATTTCACTTATTTAACAATTCAGTTTTAATCTCATTAACTTTATTCTTTAATTTTATTATTAATTTAATTTTCATTAATTAATTTTCATTTTGTTTCTGTGGTTATATCTATAACAATAGATATAGATACAAATAGATATAACCACAGAACCAAAATCCCCTTGGGGTTCTCAAATATTTGTAAGAATGTACAAAGAATCCTGAGACCAAAAGGTTAAAAAACTGATGCTATAAAGAATCACTTTGCCCCAAAGTCTATTGTTTCCAAATGGTACAGATCTTGTTGTCTCTCAATGACACTACCTTCATGGAGGAATAGGATATAGCTTGGAGGATGGAAGAGGGAGGTCAGGGTATGGGGAGAGGACTCAAGGGAAGAGGCTGATCAAGGTAAGGTGGGAAGCTCCTCTCTTGGCTGAAGGACTCAAGGTTAGATTTCCAGGTGGTCCAGATGGCCAGTGCCTCTCACATTTTATACCTGTAGGTCCTGTCTTATCTGCTGTAGCTTGGTCCATAGACTATCCTGGTTGGTTTTGAGTCTGTGAATCTTTGTTTCAAATTGGCAACTTCTTTCTTCCCGGGAGGTGTATATAGCTTGCAACTTGTCTTTGTATTGGTTTAACTGTTTTTTAAGAAGCCTGAAAAAAGAAGAGATGTGAGTGGTTTGGAAGGGTAAGGTGCCAGCACACTAATTAGAGCCCTGGTAAGATGTATTTCAGTCCTCCTTGTGGAAAAAGATGCTGGAAAACCCTGTGCCTCAACTGTTTTGTTTTTGTTTTGAGATGGAGCCTTGCTCTGTCACCCAGGCTAGAGAGTGCAGTGGCATGATGTAGGCTCACTGCAACCTCTGCCTCTTGGGTTCAAGTGATTCTTCTCAGTCTCCTAAGTAGTTGGGATTACAGGTGTGTGCCACCACACCCGGCTATTGGAAAACCTTGTGCTCAACTGTTATCTCACATCGATCAATACTGTTGCCACTTTGTTCATCATGTGCAGCTGCCTTTGTGTATATTATGGATACAATTCCACTAAGCATTCCACTGGCTTTAGAAGTACTTCAGAAAACTCACCAGGCATATTACAGGTTACTTTTGACAGCTTGCCTCTACTGGCTAATTAAATAGGAATATTAACTTTGTACTTTATCCTTTGTCTAGAAATACTCCATTCAGAATGATAGTGCACCCATCATGGCTGACCAGGAACACAGGGAGGAAGAATATTGCAATTGATGGATTGTGTGTCTGCTTTGGCTTCTCTTTCTGTCAAGTTGTTCATTGGTTTAAGAATGAACTGAGAAGCTGGGTGCACTCATTCATGGGTGTGTGTGTGTGTGTGTGTGTGTGTGTGTGTGTGT